AAAAAACATTTTCATTAAAATTATCCAAAATATTGAATCAAACATTTAGAGTGGTTTGACATTTTCCAGGTAAGCACACTCACATGATGTGCATCCTGGTATATGTTTAACATTAGTCTTCAGCTTTGTTTCTGAGACATCTGTGTGAGAGTAAAGAGGCTGAACACGTGATATGAGAAACGATGAGTTCAACATTGATTATTGTCTACAGAAAATCCAGTTTTCACTTTGCACCTCAATTAAAAATAAGAATAATTACTATAAAAAATATTTATTTATTTTTTCACATTTCTTAAACATGAATCTGACCAGAAACATTATTTTCTTACACTATTACGTGTCGTGACACTGGAGTCCTTTATCTTGTAGTAAAAGTTTCTACATTAGACCTAGCTAATAGATTCTTAAATTTTTTTAATCTGTCATGTGATTGCTTATGATTCTGTAAAATCTAGGAATATAGATCTTGCAGTGAATCACAGTAACTAACATAAAACTGTTAGCTGTACAGTTATATGAGTTGTGTCCCTTGTGAAGCAGCTGTAGCAGACTGTGATTTGTATTTACTGGCTCGGATGATTGCTTGCTGCTTTATGGGCTGAACAGTTTTACGGAGTGTGTCATCCTTTTAGCTGAGTTGGCGCATTGTTTGCTGGCTGTTGCTAGTATTGTTGTCAGCTGGTCAAAAAAACAAACAAAAAAAAACTATGAAGAGTATTCCAGTATATGGATCGAGTTAAAAGTGGAGGAGATTTTGGGATGTTTATTTTTGAGGTGATCAGTTGATTTAACAAATTCAGATTCATGTGTCTTTGTTGTGCCTCTGTACTCCGTTTGCATGGTACAGAAGTAGAATGAAGCATGTCATTAACGTTGTTGTGCACTTTTGATTTCATAGCACATGTTTTCATAGATTTGATCAAGAAACAAGTTAATTTTGAAGAAAACCTTTGAAATGGTCTGAGAAAACTTCTGCCTTATATTTCAAACACTCAGCCCTGCTTCTCCAGCTTTTATTTATGTATTATTGATATTTCAAACTTCTTTTAAGTTTGGAATTTAATGTTCCGAATTTTAAAACAGCTTAATTTATGTAAGTGGCTCTCGCATGCAAATTACTGTACCTCCACTCCCTCCTGAGGGTTGTCAGGGTCATGGTTAGCATTCATGAGAGATATGATGGTCCCATCAATGAAGATGTAAACAGTGACATTGTCAAAAAGACAGGAGAAAGAACTGGAAGTGGCAGAAATGAAGATGATGAGGTTCTCCTTAGGAGTGACAAGGATGGATAAGATTAGGAATGAGATCATCAGAGGTACAGCACAGGTTGAACAACTGGGAGAAAAAGTTAGAGGCCAGACTGAGATGGTTTGGACATGTCCAGAGGAGGGACAGTGGGTATACTGGTAGAAGGATGTTAGAAATGCAGCTGCCAGGAAAAAGACAAAGAGGAAGACCAGTGAGGAGGCAGATGTAAAATGATTTCAGTTAATGTTGACCTCAAGTGAGCAGACTGAGGAAGAGACAGAGTCAGGCATACACAAGGGAAGAGTTTTATTTACAAATGTATGTGACGTTCAGGACTGAAATGAAAATAGAACAATTATTGAGATTCTTTCTGGCTGGAAGAGATAACATTTTTGCTGATATGGTTTTCTTAGTGTTTGTGTTTGTAGATGGAGCCAGATAGGAGGGAGAGTTGGGGTCCTAGGTTTCCACAGAGGAGGTGAGGAATAGGTTGTTGATATTTGGTTGTTGCTGATCTAAACTGATGTTTGGATGGTTGAAGGAACAAGATGATGTCAAGGTGAAGTCACAAGGAATGAGGAGACTTTAGAAGATTCGAGGGAAGAGGACTTGGAAGTCGCTGGATAAGATATCAAAAACAGGTCAGTAAAACTGTTTAGAAACTAGTTTACTGGCCATTCATTATTTAGCATGAGATATTATAATGTCCCAGCATAGGAGGAACATCTGGCTGGAGCTTAAGTACTCTGCAGAGCAGTCCTCCAAATCAGGTGCAGGAGTAGAGTGGTGGTTGATTGGGATGAGCGGCAGCGATGGAGGGAGTGAATGTGGCTGGAATCATAGGAATCCCACAGGATGCAGTTAGAGAGGACACAGAGGTAGTTGGAGTGAGGACAGAGGATGCAGAGGACAGAGTGAGATGGAGGATGACTTACTCTGAAGAGGGGAAAGCTGAAAGAAGAAGAGGTGAAGATAGAAATAACTATCACACTAAATGGGCAGTAGATTCAAAACTTGCAATGTAAGTTCTGAAAATTTGAAACCAGAGACCTGCTCCTTTGTTTAAAGTTGGTCTTTCTTGTTTCAAAAGACATACTTTCTTTCAGTTATCTTATTTATCATCATACTTATGTCTAACCATTAACATGTATGATCAGTGGAAGAGTACCAGTAGAAGCTAAATGTCTTTAACAAACAAGAAAAGAAGCCCACTTGCTTTGTCTCATGTTTTGAGTGACTGAGAATCTGCACTGACACAAGACCGCTTGAAAAAAATCCAAACTATTTCTATTTATTTGCCACACTCGTCTTGTAATTTTAAGCTTGTGAAGTGGAACCCTAGCTGTCACTGGGTGAAAGAAAATGTACACCCTGAGCAGATTGCTACAGAAAGACCTGCTTAGCAGAGAATTATATTGACAATGTTACTGTGAGGTGAAGGCACAAACCACAGTGCTGCCGTGAAGTCCCATGTGTAGCACCACTGTGTACTACTTGTTTTAACCAGAGTATTAACTCTCTGAGCTGGCACTGGATACAACCAAACATTCAAAGGACTTTTCAATTTGTATGAAATATAAAAAGAGAAAGCAAATGAGTTTCAAATTCTGTAAACTACAAAAACCATAAAATCAGAAAAAGTACCGAAAGTAAACAAACACTGTGTTGCATTAAAAGAAATATGAGTTGCACCACAGTACAGCTGGTTAGTGCCGTCTCCTCACAGCAAGAGGGATTTGGATTTCAGCTGAAACCTTTCTGTGCAGAGTTTGCATGCTCTCTCCATGCATGTATGGGTTTTCTTCAGTCACTCTGGTTTCCTCTCAGTCCAAAAAACATACATTATTTGTTAGCTTAATTTTTATTATCTAGTGCCCTGGATTGCAACTCTCTGTTCCACAAAGAGGGCTGTGGTAGCTCGGTGGTCCTTGGTTGCATCAGGAAGGGCATCCGGCGTAAAAATAATTGCCAAGACTTTGTGCAACTTAGTCCGCTGTGATGACGACTGAGCAGCCAAAAGAGAAAAAAATATATATCTTAAGTGATGATTCTAAATTGGCCTTGGACATGACATGAATGTGTGCATGTCTGATATTATCTCTGGGAGCATGTCCTGGCTGTACCTGCTTCTCATCTGTTGACCATTAGAATTAGATCCAGTTCTCCATCGTTATGAACAGAACTCTGTATATACACCAAGTATGTGTTCCCTGCATTGTATGGTCCCATACAATGATGAAATTAGTTCTCTGCATTTAACTCATCACACCAGGGATACACCCAGGTGGGGCAGTGGGCAGCTGTGGAGCACCCAGGGAGCAATTAAGGATTAGGTGTCTTGCTCAGAGACATGTGGGAATGGCTGGGAGTCGAACCGTGACTTTCTGGTCCCAGGTCGGCTGCTCTACCTCTACTCTATCTCGGCCCCAAAAAGTGAAAGTGAATAGATGAATGTAAAAAAAAAAAGCCATATTTTGGTTCTAAAGTCATGATGATGTTGAAACGTTTCCATTAAGTTCTAGTTAGCGTACAGCAATGTTCTAGTAATCTATAATGACATATATTAGCAGGGCCACTTTGGAGTTTCATTGGGTAAGTCTCTTTGACATGTAATGTTCCTGCAATGTGCCAAGTTGTGAAAAATAATACTTTGTAACAAATTTCATGCAACACATCGAGTGTTATAAGGGTAGACTTTAAATACTCAGTAAGGTCCAACATATTAGGAACATAGCAACATTTTTGGTTCAAAATTTAGGAAAGGGCATACAATAAAAAATCACCAGGTGTTACAATAAACTGAGGATACCTATTGCTCTGTAACACAGCAGCAATGTGCATTTTAGTGGGTGGTTACTGTAATGTTATTGTGTCACTGGTCAGATGGTAAATGGTTTACATTCACATATCAGCTGCTCAACCTCATCCTAGCTCTGCAAAGCACTCTACAAGGACACTCATGCTACTTTCCATAAAATATCTGGAATATATAATGGCATTAAACCACCAGCATCATTTGTACAGAACAGTCACTGAAGAGAGTTTTATTCTGTATACAAAATATTTAAACTGCATTTATAAATGTGTTTTAGATTTAGATTTGTTCACTTGTTTTGTCTCGTTTCACTTTGCTCCCTGGCTGTTTACAACATCTGTATTTGTGATATTTGCATATATCTCTACAGTTCACTGTCGCTCTTAACAGCAGTAAGTCTGAGCTGGTTTCCTTCCTGTGCAGTTGGCATTTGCTTTTGCGTGTAACACATTGAGGTCCAATCTGATACACAGAGACTAAAGACAGGAAACAAAGCAATACGCAATAAGTGAACAAAGATCAGCTGGTCACTCTGATTTTATATGATTTTACATGTTAAAAACAAACAAAACAACATTTGCTCAAAAGTAATTTATTGACAAGTTGAGTAAAATAAATATGTACATTACTTTTTGGATTTAGATTACAGATATATATGTTTTTTTTATTTATTCGTTTGCTATTTTATGAATGTCGTGTTTTGCTACATTAAAGCAGTAATGGAAGTGGGGACATCAAGGTAAGGACATAAATAGTTCTTTAAAATTGCCTGTTGATTGTGAAAAAGACAAATAATAACAACAAAAGTTACACTTGGTAATTTGCGCTTGATTATTTTGATACATCATGATTTGGATCAGAGTTTTAAAGTTTTAAACGTCACACTGAATCAAATCAGGCCACAGTGGTCACTTTTATTTGCATGTGTGTTCTCTCAGCCCTGTTTTCTCTGCCGCTTCTTCAGTCTTCTGTTCTTCTTTTGTTTTCTCCTTGCAGTTCTTTTTTGTCTTGGGGGAGCAGGTCTTGATGATGTGGACACTGTTGGTGTGATGTCAGCTGATCCTTCTTCAGTTAATTTTTTTTCAGGTAATGTTTTATTTGTCGGTGGGTCCAGGTTTGGTTTTATTGTTGGGTCCAGGTTTGGTTTTATTGTTGGGTCCAGGTTTGGTTTTATCATTGAGTCCAGGTTTGGTTTTGTCGTTGGATCCAGGTTTGGTTTTGTCGTTGGGTCCAGGTTTGGTTTTGTCGATGGGTCCAGGTTTGGTTTTGTCGTTGGGTCCAGGTTTGGTTTTGTCGATGGGTCCAGGTTTGGTTTTGTCGATGGGTCCAGGTTTGGTTTTGTCGTTGGATCCAGGTTTGGTTTTGTCGTTGGGTCCAGGTTTGGTTTTGTCGTTGGATCCAGGTTTGGTTTTATCGTTGGGTCCAGGTTTGGTTTTGTCGATGGGTCCAGGTTTGGTTTTGTTCTTGGGTTCAGCTTCTGAATGACACGTTTAACCCAGCTGCTGTTGGGGTCAGAGCAAATTGTCTTCCCATTCACCGTCTTAAACCTGAAATTAATTAATTTATTTATTTTTGCAATTTGGTGAAGATTTTAACAATAAAAAAGTAGAAAAAAATATGAAACTTTCAAAGTTCATGCACAGAAATTTGATATTTAATAAACAAAATTTCAGCTGTTACAGTGTTTTTTTTTTTTTTGGTAGAATTTTGTTTCAATGACAATACAAGGTTTAATGATAAAAAAAAAGACATTTTATAAAACAATTAAGGTTGATGGTTGGTGTGTTGATTAAAATGGGATTCATTTGGAAGTACTTGTGGATAATATAACAGATGTGTCTTATTTTACAACAAAATTGAACCATAAGAATACTTACACAGCTGCTCTGATGAGACACATGCCTTCCTCCTGTATGGTGTAACTCTTAATTTTATGATGATGAATTTTAGTGTTAGACAGACCAACACAACTGCAGTCCTGCACCGGCGCAGTGACTAAAAAACAAAGAACAAAATAATTGAAATGATTATTTCAGCACAGATATTCCAGTCCCACTTTCCATCACATGTTTTTTGGTACTTACGTGCTTGGATCAAGTTTATCCACGTGGTGAAACAGAGAAGAGAGGATACAATCAGGCCAGACTTCATCTTCTGAATTACACCCAGTCTCTGTTATTCAGTAAAATATCTTCCTCTTGATTTAACAGGATTGATATAAGAGTGAAGAATCAAAACGTCTTGTTCAAACAGCAGGCACTGTGCGTGTGTGAAGTGATGAGCGTCTGTCTTTCTGAAACGTGAAGTTTTGATCACAGCTTTTATAACAATACAAGCCCCCACTCTCCACCCGTACTTTACCCATACCCTGTCACCAAAGAGGAGAGTCGCTGTGACCACATGGTGGGGAGAGGAAATAATGAGCTCACCTCACACAACCTAGAGGTGCACATCAGTCGGTCACCACAAGCCTGCCCACATTGAAACAAACAGTTACTCATATGCACATTGAACGCTGTATCATAACTTTCCATCACGCTCACTTAAAAATAAAATGTGTTTCTAACTTCAGACAGCTTAACAACCCTTAGACTCTATCTGGTGTAGGATTACACGTTTATTTCAAAAGTAATCTTTGCAGATTTTATTATTAATTTGACATCATTTACAGATGACAACTTTTGTTGTCATTTTGCTGTCAAACACACACACCAGTGATAGATCTGTAAGTCCATCTTTCTGTCTGTCTGTCTTTTCATCTGTCTGTCTGTCTATCTATCATCTATCATCTATCATCTATCATCTATCCATCCTTTCATCCTTCCATCCTTCCATCAATCCATCCTTCCATCCATCCTTCCATCTATCCATCAATCCATCCTTCCATCTATCCATCCATCCATCCGTTTCCATCCATCCATCTATTCATGTTTCCATCCATCCATCCATCCATCTATTCATGTTTCCATCCATCCATCCATCCATCCATCCATCCATCCATCCATCCATCCGTTCATGTTTCCATCCATCATCCATCCATCCATCCATCCATTCATGTTTCCATCCATCCATCCATCCATCCATCTATTCATGTTTCCATCCATCCATCCATCCATCTATTCATGTTTCCATCCATCCATCCATCTATTCATGTTTCCATCCATCCATCCATCCATCCATCCAGCCATCCATCCATCCATCCATCCATCCATCCATCCATCCATCCATCCATCCATCCATCCATCCATCCATCCATCCATCCATCTATTGCATGCGTGCAGGTGTGTGATACAAGTAATCCCATGAAACAGAGTCACATATCCTAGTTACATTGAGAATTACCCTGCTATCTGACTGGTGATTGAAACTGTTAACAAAATTACATCTTTAAAAGATGTTTAAAATTGTATTTTTAGCTTTTTATTACTATTAGTAAGAGTTATTGTCACTTTCAGAATTAGAGGACATTTCTGTGAGTTAGTGCATGACCTTTGATGAAATAGACATTTTTTGGTGGCCAAAGAAGAACAAAAATGTAAAAGAATAAAACAGTACAGTGAAAAGGAAAGAGGAAATGGTATTGAAAGTATACTGTATGGCCACACATGCAGGAAGGTGTGGGCATCCTTGGCATGTTCAAACAGTTCATCGCTTCAGTCTTTAAGTTTTGGTGAAACTTCTATCTAATTAGTCATCTCAACACACAATATGACAGGCGCAATTTAAAGATTGGAGTTGGAGTGGCCAATAGATTTAGGAACCAAAAATAGAAGTGAAAGAGGATTTTGTAGATAAATGTCTTTCCACAAAGCAGATCTGCTGGAAAAAAAAGTGTTAGTGAACGTCCTACACACAACAGGCGTGAACCAGAGAGGAAAAGAAGAATACAATTGAAACTCTGGTCTTTTTGCACCTCAGTAATGAAAGTTTTACATTCACATCACAACAGCTGAAATAAACACCATACTAACTGTCCACCCATGGAAAGGAAGGCAATATATTACTATTATTCCCTTGTCAACATCCCTGCTAAAATAAGTAACTCTAGGAGCCACATAACTTGTTATCTCTAAATGGCACATTATTAAAATATTTGTTGAACAAGCCTAGAAAAATTCAGATTTCTGTCTGCTTTTGCCAGGGGAATGTAAATGAAACATACATGTGTACCTTTCACTTCATGCATCAATTTTTGTTTTATTGTGCTTATCCAAAATCTGTTTGCAGAGGTAACAAGTTTAGGAGAGGAATCAAGTGATCCTTTTGCTCTGTAACATTCTCCAGCTCCTCCTGGAAGGTCCCGAGGAGGCATTGCCAGACATGAATACATAATGTCTTCTTCTGCGTCTGCTTTGAGGGCTCCTCCTAATGTCAGGTTCCAGAAACACTATCAAGGACCAAGAGGCATCCTGATGTGAAACTTGAACTTCCTGAGTTGACTCCTTCCAATCTGGAGGAGCAGCGGTTCATTTTAAGCTCCTTGTAGTTAGTCAAGTTCCTCATCTTATTAAGGAGGCTGAGCTCATCCACCCTACAGAGGTTTCTTTGGTCTTGATACACGTCCCAAACCCAGGAGGAACATTTAATCTTTTCCAGTTGAGAAACATGAACTCATATTTGAAGGAGCTCATTCACATTTTGGCTGTTAGCTGTTACATTTCATGCTGAAAGTTGAAGACACCAACAGAAGCATCTCATTTGCAAAAGGCATAGCTGCATCCCTGACATTCCCAAAGCAGACATTCTTCTCTCTACAACTGTAAATTAAGATCTCATCCATGAATGTGTAGATGGCGTCTAGTTCACTACAAATGCCACAAACAAGATTATGACAAGGGGGCAGCGCTGGCAGAGTCCAGGACTAGTTAAACTATGGGCAGAAGATACAAACACAACTATTGTTTTGAGCCTCTCAGCATCTCTGCAAGGTTAAAATCTGGTTTCCTGTTCTGAGATCTTAACAAAAGCTACATCGCTCCTCATGTTTTCAAGGTTTGTTGATGGGTGCTTCTTCTTTTCCCTGTACAGTATTCAAAACTTATCATCACCATCTCTTTAGTGGCTTCTTTGCAAGAGAAATACGTGATAATTCTTTCCTTTTTGTTTATTAATTGTTGTTCTGGACAAAAGTCAGGGCTGGTAGTTGTCTGACAACATGGCAGATGCAACTTAACTTTCTGGTAAATCAAGAGACTGGAACGTGGCATCACTGGAGTTTACAATCCATGCTGAGTTTCATATCCTCCTTCTACAGCTACTGCAAAATAATGAATGAGAAGCTCACTGACAAGCAAGTGCATGCTTAAGAACATGTCTGAACACACAAACTAGCCTTGCTTTGACATCTTTCTCAGGGCTCGTGGGAAAAGTAATAATGAAACCCAACAAATTTGCCTCAAACCACAACTCTGTGATAATGATTTGTACATTTGCACCAACTCAAGCATGAGTCACATACACACAAAAATGTGGTTTTATGCTTTTTACTGCTCCTTCAAGCCGTTTGGCCTTTTGCAGTATGGTGGGGATTAGCGTTTAGCACTGTTGCCTCACATAAAGAAGGTCCTGGGTTCAATCCCTGGTTTGGACCTGGGGTGTTTCTGCGTGAAGTTTGCATGTTTCATTGTTTCTCTGGGTACTTTTTCCTCCCATAGTGCAAAAACATGCATGTTAGGCTGTCTTCAGGCCCCGGTCTCCCTTGCAAAAAAGATCTTTGATCTCAGTTGGATTTGCCTGGCTAAATAAAGGTTAATCAAATTAACTTTATTGGACCACATAAATGCTTCTGTTATCAGATTTAAGTGTAGGAAGGGCTAACTAATCTTCACAGCAAATCCCACAAACCTGCCGGCAAAGATACAATGTGAGTGGCATGTCGTAAATGAGAGCAGTAAATACAGGACTGCTTCATCTGATGAATATATGTAGCTGCTCCTCCTCTCTGTTTGATAAGGAATCATCTCCAGACAGATCAATGTTTCATTTGAACTTGTATTCAACACGGAGAAATATTGATTCATTTTTTTTAATGGAATTGCATCGATCAGACAGATGTTTCCTTTCTCTTCCCGCAGAGTAAGAAAAACAGTCTTAAAAAAACCTGTCAGGTCTTAGCCAGGGATGTGTCAGGGTGTACGTTTGGAAGATGAAAGCACCGCACATGTGACAAGGAGACTGGCTGCCTGAGGATGTGCTTCTGCAAAGAGCAAAGCAAAGCAGGTCAGTGTGAGACCCAGAGAAGTGCTGAGGGTGTAGTGGAGCCATACATACGATCAATACACCAACCTTTCTTAGACTTATTGCATGTTTTATTTTATTTTTTCTCTCTTTTGCTTTGCAACACCAACACAGAAAACACTGATATACTTTGTACTTATCCAAATTTGTGCTGGATCTCATCCTGACTTTTGTCATAGTACGACACTTTTATACTGTTATTTAACCTATACAACTACCCTTTTTGCACACAGACTTGCTCTGCTTGAGCAAAGTTGTTTAGATTAGACCAATGAGAGGTTGCTCAACAAATGAGGATCTCTGACCTATTCTCTTGAGTCCCTGTGCATGAATATTGTATATTACCGTTCGATACCAAGGGATATCATCAAATCCCACTTGGAATTGAGAAACGTCATTTACTTTCCAATTAATGCTTCAATTAATGAAGTAATGCCCAATTCATTAGCAGAAAGTGGTGAAGTTGAAATGAAAGTGACCTCATGCCCTTCTATCAATCTGGTATTGACGTCCTCTCATAAAGCTTCAATTGTGGATCAACCGTCCATTTAGGGGAAGGCGTCAATAATCGACTTAAACTGGGAGACATATTACCATACACATTAGCATAGACATTGCTCTTGTGGCTCCGAGGTGATTTGAATGTCTGTGAGAGTGACTGGCTCACGGTTCAGGGGATGCAGGAGCGCGTCAGGCCTAATCAATAAGCACTTTAATTATAGCGGCCCTCGGCATGCGGCGCTTCACGGTTGAAAGACGTTC